CTCCAGCCAAGGGAGACTAGAGAGCCTCTTCCTGAGCCATCCTTGCCCTTAGAGGAGCCTATTACCTGACAGCCTGTCCTCTCCCCTGCCTGGTAAGGGGGCAGGCTATCAATAGCTGCCTAACAGGTTTTGAGTGGCTGCATGTGCAGCCCAAGAGATAGATCTTCTTCATTGAAAACCAGTGTAACTTGAAGAAGAGCCATTTTTCTTCTGCAAAAAAGCCCCAAAATGTCTACACTTACCACTGACAACCTCTGAACTAAGCAAAACCTGGAAAATGACCCTGCTGCCTAATTACACCTGTGCTGTGCAATTGACTCCTGTGGGAGCTGGAGTAGGTCCTAACATTCAGGATCAAACGTTTCCAGACACAGCTGTATCGTTCAGTCAGAAAGAAGAATAATGAAACTTAGAAGGAAGGTAGGGAGAAAAGCAAATAGAGAGGGATCAGAATGGCTGCTGCCAAGCCAAATTGATAGAAAGTCTGTGGGGGACAGAGGTTGGTGAGCTAGGGCATGGGGGCTGCCTGAGGGGTGTGTGTTGTGGGGGTGTGTAGAGGGGTTGGGGGACGGGGGAGTAGAGCCTGGCAGCACTGGGGTTGCAGCAGGGTAGGAGGGAGGAGGGGATGTGCCTGCCCATTCGGCTAGTGGGGGCAGTGGGGAGATCTGTGTCTGGGCTTGTAGCACCAGGGCTGGTACCTGTGCTTGCAGAGGTAGAGCAGCCAGGAGACGCTGCCCAGGTGGCAGGGACAGGCATGGCCAGACTGCCTAGCGTAGTGTGAGAGCCCCACCCCAGGGCAGGGGGTGTCACAGGCTTCCCCTCCTCTTCCCTCCTGCTGCCACCCACATGAATCAGAGTCACCCTGCTCTGGCCTGGTTGGGAAGGGGGCAGCTTCCCAGGATTGCAGGGAGCAGGGGGCTGTGCATCAGGAGTGAGTGGCACCAGCATGGCCTGGAGGGACAGGGAATTGTGGGTTAGGAGTGAGGGGCACTGGCAGGGCCAGGGGTCTGTGGGTGGTTCGGGAGTGAGGGGCAGCAGCAGGGATGGAGGGCTGCCGGTTGGGAGTCAGAGGCACTGGCAGGGCCCCAGGGGGCTGTGGGTTGGGAGTGAGGTGTCCCCTCAACAGGTGGCCTCTTTTTTGGAACTGGAAATATGGTAACCTTAATAGTAAATAAAATAAGAAAAGAAAACATGGGATGATCAGAAGCTGCAATGACTGATATGTACTCTCAAACTTTGAGCATGTCTGTAGTTCATATAATGGGGACTACCTCATCTTGCACAGCACCTCTAAATGTTTGCTTTTTTTGCAGCACTCTAATTTCTTAAGTTTGTATATGACTCTTGCTAGTCACAGTGAATCATCCCTGTGTAGAGAAAAAGGTGGAAATAAAAGATTTGCAGGCCTTATGCTGGGCACAAAGGGCTGAATATCACCTAGTTATAGAAGGATATAATGAAGGAAATTAATTTAGGGCAAAAGATATTCTGCTCTCAGTGTAGAACTCAATGCAAATGTCAGTTACTACTTTGGCTTTTACTAGTAACAGTTATTTGATGATGTAGTACTTGGGTTTAAATATAGGTTAATGCTGCTTTTGCAGCATGTATGAACAGGAGCCAAGGCAATATTATTCATCTTTCAAGGCATCTTTCAGAATTTACTTCAAATTTGTGGGTGCTTATAAAACTAAACATCAGTCGCCATTAAAAAAAACCCATACCATTTTGCTTTTGGAAGCAGGCAACATTACCACGGCTAATGATATTCCCTGTACATAGAGAATACCTTGGTAATGTTAAGTACTTAGCAAAAGCAAAATTTTAAAGGTTTAACAGCACTCACTCAATAGCATATTGCATGTAGCACTCGGTGGTGAAAAAACATACAGGAACTTGTTTTTGCTTATATGCAAAACCTGCAAGACTATGCATGAATCTGTTAGATTTGCTAAGAAATACTACCCTTCAGAGTGTCTTGGTGTCACAATTTTGATGCTTAATTCTGGTCCTATACTAAAACAGTTAAACTCATTAGATATTTGATAGAAAAGAAGTGATGGTCCAGCATGTATCCATATTATTGTTATCTTCTGTTAAGCTAATCAAACCAAACCTTATTGCTGATTATTGGGCAAAAACTGGAAACTTCAGCGCTTTTCTAGCTTATTTTCTAGATAAATGTTAGCAGCATCCATACCCAAAATAAAACATGTTTTTCTTCTACAATGAAATGTTTCTGGTAATAGCTTCATAAATAATTGCAGGGCAGGGGAAAGGAAACAGTTCAGGTCACATGGACGGTTAGCGCTTATGGTCATTATGACATTTTGCAGCAGTTTCTTGTTTAGCCAGTGGTTTTGCTACAGCAGAGTTGCACTTGTTGCACAGATCTCTTATTTCAATGAGACTTTCTTCCACAGCTTTAGCAAATGTGACTGAGGAGGTCTCTCTACAGCCTTTAAAACTTGAGATGCAGAATAATATATGCTCTGGCTGTGGGTTATAACATGCACCATAACCATTGGGAACTACAGGCCCATAACAGCAGAACGTTTCCATTGTGGTTGGAACCTGGTTGTGGAGAGAGAGGGGAAAAAATTCATAATTGCCCTTGAAGTAATTTAGCTGATAGTAAAGAAAAATGTGAAAAAGCCACAAATACTTTAAACAGCAGATTCCCTTACCAACTACTGTTTGAAAGGGAAGTCCAGATCCTAGAGCTGGAGACAACAACTGGCGTTTTGGCAGATAAACCAGTTATGTCTATAAGATTCTGTATATTAATTTCCATGCACAAATTGGATGTAATTTGCTCTGTTTGAAAACTGGCTTCAATATGAGACTGCAATTTCATTTATTCTCTCATTTTACGCAGACCTTTAAGGTAGGTACCGATGTTAAGGGAGGTTAGGGGGAGGTTAAGTCATGTTAAAAATTTCCACCCAATCTAACTTAGTTTGCCCATGTGTGAGTCTTACACTAACATCCCTAGTTAGGTTGATCTAAGTATGAACTGTGCAGAAGTTCCAGGTAGGTTAGAATGGTCAAAAATGGCTGAACTGATCTAATTAACCCCTACCATGGAGGTACACTAAATGAGCAGACAGAAGTGACAATTTTTGCCTGATTTGGCCCTTGAAGTGCTCTACAACCATGACAAGTGCACAACTGTGGAGCATTTTAAAGGGGCCCAATCCTGTGACAATCTGAATCCTCATTACAGGAGGGTTCAGATGAAGGCATTCCAAAGAAGACCACCTTCATTAACTTGTGTCTGTGTGTGCTGGGCATAGGTTTAGACTGACACAGTTCAGCCCTGCCCCCAGCACTGTTTTCAGAATGGAAGGGGGAGAAGGGAACAGAGCGAAATCATGCTGGAGGATGCTCCCCAGCTTTTGAGTGGGTGGATTGGAGCCCTTCACTTTGGGCCCACTTTGGGGGCGTTCCAATGCACCCCCCACAGGGAACCTGGGGAAACCCCAGAACCTCCCTCCCTCCCAGGGGTGACTGGTGCCTCCTGAGTCTGGGGTGGGGCTGGTTGGGACTGGTTCAAAGGACTGGTGTGGGGAGCTGATCATAGTAAGTGTGGGGGGAAAGATCAGGGGCGGTTGGTTGGCTGGGGGTTGCTGTTTGTCTGGGGTTGGAGGTCTAAAAATAGCTTGTGGTTGGGAGGAGAGAGATCCTACCAACCCCTCCCATCTGCCTGCCCCTCCCCCCATGTTGCCTTATTTTCGTTAGGCTCCCGACACTGGTGAATACTGGTAGACTTTGCCCCGGGAGTGATTTGTGGGACTGGGAGCATCAGGGGATGATGGGGCAGGGGTGGGGGTGGGCAGAGAGATTTTGGCAGGAATGGAGAGCATCTCTCATTGTACCAACTCCCCTATGGACTTCCCCACACCCCCCATGCTGCCCCAATCCTGCCTGTCCTTCCCCATACCCTGACTTACCTTAGATCAGGCTCTTGGCATCTATCTAAGTACTGACTTAAATCAGGAGGCCATTTTTAACTTGACCTAACCCCCCAAATTTCTAACTGTAATGAAGCCCCAGTGGCTATTAGTTACTAGGACTGCATGCAATTCCTTACCTTATGGTTAATTTAAACTTGTAATATTAAGTGTTTAATCAGCTATATAATATTTGCACAGTTCTTAACTTTTAATATTGAGAGTTCACATAAAAACTGCATTTTAATGCATTCAGCTATTAGTTGAAACTGAGTTTCTATTACAATTTCAATATAATTATGACATTTCTACAGAAGAAAATTTAAGATTTGTTTGAGATTTATATATTTCAGACTTTGTGTACATGGGCCTTCAGAAATGACATTTGGCTTTTTAATGGTGTAGAACAAGCCATTAGAGTCCTGCTAATAGAGTCATAGAATTGTCAGATAAATTTGCTGTGCAACAGCCGAAGGCCATACAGCTATTCAGAAGCATTCTTTGCTCATGGATGGTTTCTTGGAGAATTTATGCAGTGGTATTCTGGTTACATTCACTCATGTCTGAAAGCCCACAAACATTAGGACAAGATCAAATTACTTATTAAGGTTTTATGCTACATCACAATATTATCAGACCTTTTTATTGCACACTCACAGATCTATAAGGTTGAAGCAGCATTTCAGTAAATTAATTGTTAGGAATTTTTTTCTAATTTAATTAAAGCTGATACTATATGTGGTGAAATATTTAATTTTCAATTTATGTTGACTCCTGTATGGATAGCTATATTGTTCAAAATGCTCAGCCTAGGAACTAGTGACTGTTGATCATTTAATTATGCTGTGTGCTGTCTGTAAATTAAGTGCTGACTTGCAGATCAGAACTTGCATGTCTGACACTTACAGTCTACAGCTGAAGGATGCAGGCAACTATATGATACTAGAACTTCATATACGCTTCATTTTCTGTTCTTGTTTATGTAGTTTGTATACGGTGGACAGACAGAGCCAATGGTGGCCTTGGCCTACGTTAGCTGTGTGGTTGCATGGTTCCTTTACATATGTGTCCAACAGTTATGGAGATCTAATAGCCTCATTATTATTTCTAGTGGTTATCTTGCCCAGTTTTCCTCTCAATTTCTAATTAAAGCTCTTGAATATGATTCTGTACTGCTGCCTTTTTCATTATTTATTATTTGGTGGAATTGCCCATTTGATCTCTATTAGGGATTATAAATTAACTCTTCATAAACAGGTATACAGGGAATGTCCCAGTCATTTAACAGGCTGCTAGTGTTGGCTTAAGAGCGTGGAAGTAGGAACATTTTTAGATGAGGAAAGATTAAACAGGGTTTCATACATATTCGTAGAGTTTATAAAGCCTTGTGAAACTTATGCTGGCCCTGGCCCCAATATTTCAAATGCAGCTGCTATTATTTGCCCATGCTTCCTGGCTTTTCTTCCTTCACAGCAGTAGTATATCTTGCTTGGTGCCAGTGTTGTCAGTGGAAGAAAAAATTCTCAGTGGAGCTGATGCCTTTAAAAGGGCATGGCATAAGGGAGTACTTAGTGTGGAAGGAATGGAAGCACAAGGCTCTTATATACTTTTTTTTGCTCTTGTGTTCAGTATTAGGCTTCAGTCAGGGAAAGCTTTGGGATAGAGAGAAGTGAAAATTCAGCCATTTTTTGTTATGTAAATTTGGTTATGGAAAAATATTTGGTAATGAAAATCAGGTAATGAAAATGTTTCACAGCTATTCATACCACCCTCAAGTTGTTTCAAAGCTGCCATTTCCATTGTGATCTATAAAATCAGCTGGCTATAAATGAATTAGCTCTCTAACAGGGAGTCTTGGTATAGCAAGATTAGTGAATTTGTAACACTTACCTGGCTGGTTGAAAGGATAAATCGATTGCTTGTCAAATATGTCTCATCTGTAAATATCTCTGGCAGTTCCTTGAAGTGTTCCCGTGCCATTTCTCTTAGCCCTAACAAATGATTGTCTATTGCCATTCCAGTAATAGCCTATGCACAATAGAACAGAAAACAAGTTTAAACTGACAACGTGCTCAGCTGTTGCTATGATTTCCCTTGGTTAGAGATAAGAACCTTGGTTTGTGTAGAATAATGTCCTGAAGGTATTTTAAAATCACTCAGAATATAGTTGCCACCACCACAGTGACAGCTGACTGCAGCGCAGCAATTGGCCCCTGCAGTCCCTGCTGCTCATGCATTGTGGTTACCCTGGCGCAGAGCTGTCTTGCTATGCCTCTGGCCACCACCCTGCAGCATACTGTGAGTCTTGGTTGGATTCTGTTAGGGCCAGCAATTTGGTTTTGCCAAGGTTCTGATCACACATCCAAAATGTTAACTCTACAGTACCATAACAAACACTCTTTTCAACCATTCTGTATGTAATGTGTATCGTATCCCCTGGGAACAAGTGCCCAGGTAGTGATCCAAACAAGCTACACCATCAAAAAATGCTTTGGAATCCTATCCAATGGTGGTAAATGTGTAGACTTAATGTGGAACCAGAACCCTGTTACTCAGAGGTACAGTCAGCTCACTGAGCACCAGGGGCAGGAGAGGGTTGGAAGCACAGGGGTATGCCGGCCATTGTAAATGGGGTGAAGGAGTAGACATGGGTGAGGGGAAAGGAAAGATTACCTTCCTCAGCTACTGCTGCTGTTGCTGTAGCAGCTTCAGCTCCACTCTGGCGCTGGGAGCTGACCCTGTTGCCTAGTTCACTCCTCCCTCACGCCTCCAATACATACAGGCTGCTCCTGCTCTGGCAAATGCTCCCTGGGTTAGGGGGATACCATTCTGCTCTCCCCATTTGCCACCTGCCCCCAAGATATACTGCTTGGCATGGTGGTACCCTGCCTGGCTCCTACGATCAGGCAGGGACAGCTCAGGATTACTCCAGCTGTGGCAAAGACACATGGGGGGACAATTGTAGTGTCCCTCATAGTTGGCATCCAGGGCTGGTGCCCTGCTTGCCCCACCCTAGTTACACTACTGCTATTACTTATCACCAGGGATCCGGGTTTTCCGTTTACCACAAAAAAATGGAGAAAACCACGGATTCCCTGTTTTTATCGGAGAAAACACAGATTTCTCTTTTAGCAGAGAAATCCGCAGATTCTCCACTTTTGCAAAGAGCTCTTGCAGGCTGGCACAGCTCCAGCCTGCAAGAGCCAATTGCAAAAAGCGTGGGAAACCTCCTGCCCTGGCTGGAGTGGGAGGGAGAGGGGGGAGGCGGGGTCTCAGCCTCTGAGGCAGCCAAGGCTGGGCTCAGGCTCAGACTTGCCCTTCGCCCCTGGAGCATGGAGGTAAGTGGGCCTGTGGGGCAGGGCTGGGGAAGATGGTTGGAGGCTGATGGAGTGGAGGGTGCTGCCGGCTCCAGACAGTACATCACAGCTGGAAGCAGGGCCAGGGAGTGCAGACAGGGGTGCCCTTCTGCAGGGTGGGCTTTGTGGGCAAGCGATGTGAGGCACAGCGTGGTGGTGCCTGCCATGTGCGGGCTGCACACATGCCGCCCGGCCGCATGCCCAGGGGAGGGGGAGAGGAAGGCTGGCATGTAGCTGGAGCACAGCTTCATGGCCAGCTTGCAGCCACGGCAAGGAATGGAGGTGTGGGGTTGGGGGCTTGGGCTTGCAGGTGGTGGCTGTTGCCGCTTACCTGGAGGGCTGTGATGGTGGTGATGGCTGCTGCCTACAAAACCTCCTGCTTCCGCTGCGGAGCCATGCCCAGAGCTGTGCAGTGAGCCGCTGGGCAGCTATGGCAGCATGGTGGTGGCTGGGTGGCACACAGGCATCCCCACCACCACCCTGCGCTGCTGCCGCCAGCTGCGCAGCTCCGGGCGTGGCTCCATGGAGGCAGCGGCCATTACCACCATTATGGGCAGCCACTGCCACATACCTGTGTGGCTGCCTGTGCCAGCGATGACCCCTGCCTTCACCCTCTGGCCCTGCTTCCAGCTGCAATGGCAGCACCCCCCACTCTGTCAGCCCCCAACCATCTTCCCCAGCCCTGCTCCACAACCCCCAAGCCCCTCTTACCTCTAGGATCCAGGGGTGAAGGGCATGGCTCCATGGTGGCAGCCGTTGCCCACAAAGCCCCCCCAGCCTGCATGCAGCTGCCACCACCCCACACCACCATGGAACTGTGCAGCCTCTGCATGCCTCTGCATGCAAGCCCCCTGTTTCACCCCCCAGCCAGGTGGCACGTATGTGGCCTGCACACGGTGGTTGCCACCGCACTGCTGCTGCTGCACTCTGCTCCACTTACCTACAAAGCCATGCAGGTGGCCATGGGATGGTAGCGCAGGGCGCAGTGACAGAGTTGTGGTGACAGCCTCTGTGTGTGAATCTCCTGTCAGGCTGTCCAGCATGTGTGTGGCCCACAGAGTGGCACCTCTGCCCTCACCCCCTGGCCCTGCTCCTGGGAGTGGGCACAGGGGCAGAGTCTACCCCCCAGTACCTTCCCTTTCCCCTGCCCTGCCCTTTCCCCCCACACACACTTATCTGCTGGGGTGGGTGTCAGTGTCTGTGTCTGCATGTCTGTGGGTCTGGGGGGCTGTTGTAAGGGGCATTAGGAGGGTTGTTGAGACTGTGGGGGTGAGTGCAGATCACCAGCAGTGCTGGGTGGGGTGGCTGTGGGGGGCCTTTATTTTTTATCACAGATTTTGGGGTTTTAATCAGAGAATTTGCAATTTTTAACCGGAGAAAACCAGGATCCCTGCTTGTCACTGATGGACTATCTGAAGTACTATAGAAAGAATATATTATTTAGATGCAGAACATTTCAATCAGAATTGATGGCCAAAGAGGTATAGATGCCACAAGGACTGGAAAGTCTAGGAAATCGGGAAGAAGGCAAAGTGGCAGGACTTAAAGGTGAGATTTTTTTTTCCTTCTTAAGGGAAGTATTGTCGTAACATATGAGTGGGTGAATGATGCAAGGGCCGGGGAGTACAAAACCCTCTTTGTCATAAGAAAAAGCGTACTCTTTGGTAAGGGGGTCTATATGTGCATTAGGGTGCACAGTTCAGAGATGGAGGGAAAAGGAGCATACAGCACAGTACTGGTTACCTGGTTTTTCCTATCGAGGGAAGTTGACTTGGTGATCAAAGGAAATATTTTGCAATCACACAAGATTTATAAGGCTGTTAGCAATGACATTTTTGCAACATAGATCAATGTCGTGTCTGAAGAGCAACCCAGACAGGCTAACGAAATAAACTGTGAGTCAACACACAAGAAAAAACTGTGCTAAATTGAATTTTAGGGCTCCACATTTAAGATAGCAATGCTGCTGGTAAGCCCTAGCAAGGGAAAACAAAATCACTAAACCGCTGTTTGTTTTATGAGGTAGGGTTCTTGGTTTTTTTCAGGGCTGTTATATTTCTACTACATATACAGTTTAATCAGTAAATATTCACTCCGATTTTTCCAAAGTTTAAAGGCACATCAGTTAAATGTTCATATGAAAAAGGAAATCATAAGTGATAGAAATGTGATTGGAATTCTTTTACATCTGAAGTTAAATTCCAGAATATCTTTAAGAATGTATCAACATTAATCCTTCCTCATTTTTTAAGTATGCTAAATGTTGAGGCTGAAATTATAATTCCATAAAAGGCTGGGAAGCCAGAAATAACATTTCCAAAGCAACTTTAGTTATGACCTAAATTTCATAAAATTTTGTGGGACTGAAAATGAGTTATTGAACATGTTTTGATAATTTGGGGGGGGCATTATTTATCTGTGTTGAGGTAGTGTTCGGAGGCCCTACTGACATAGATCGCTCTGTGTGCATGCACACAATGAGAAACAGTTTCTGTTCTGAAAATTTTTCAGCTAAACGAAGATTGACAGACTCTTGGTTGAGGGAAAGAGGTATTTATATGCCTTTTTTTACAGCTGGAGAACTATGATACAGAATTAATAACAGGATTATGTATTAGTGACTTGTCTTCACTGCTAAAAAGCTATTTTGTTTTTTATTTAGAGGTTTCAAAAGCCATGTCTAAGCTAAAGACTAGGCACAGTTTAGTGCAAGCTATACTAAGGTGGGTATGACTTTGACCATGGCAAATTACCTTGCAGTATACTTAAAGTATCCTTCCTTGCCTGTGATTTAACTTTGACATAGCTTATGTGTAGTTACTTTGAGGTAAAACATGCAGATTGTTTAGGATGAAGGTGATCCCCTGTTTCTTGTATCACAGTACAGTGTCTTAACCACAAAACTATACTTCCTTGTCCCTCTCTCCATTCCCCAGACTTAAGAATACTTCCTTGCTCACATCCTCAGACTGATTTTAATTTTGGGAAAACCATTAATGGTGAATTGTTAAGTAGTAATCAGCAATAATTATGGCCAAGAGTTTACATTAAATTTGTAATAGACTGAGGCAAAACCAAGAGTGGTAAATTTTGTATCAAAGCCACTTGTTATTAGTGATTAATTTCGTAAGTGATTTGAGTAAGTTGTTAGTATCGTAAGTCAGTGCTTTGTCTTGACACACGGGAGGTGGACTATTACCAAGGCTGAGCTGCTTCACTTATAATCAACAGAAACTGTTTTCCTAGTAAGCTGATTTCTTCACTGGGAGATCCCCTTCTTTATTGTATAGTATAGCACATACTGTACAACAGTAATTAAGATGGACAATCAGGTAATCATTATTTGCTGTTAATAACTATTTAACATATATATTCTCAATCAGCTTTTGGAATACATTCCACCATCAAGGACAGATTCCTAAGGGGAAACATGGATACAACAACACTGAGGCCAATGCTACTCCATCTAGTTATGTCACATGATGAGGAGGCCGCATAATTCCCATGAAGGATATATGCCAGTAGCCAATTTTAAAAGAGTTATTATCAGTGTGTTAGACTTACATGAACCCAAACTTGGAATGTAGATGCCCATGAACTTTGGAGTGAGCTGCATTTTGCACCTCTCGTTCCAGCCGCGCACGCGCGTGTGTGTGTGAAGTTACAGAAAGGCAAGACCTAGTACCTTTATGAATGGTCATTTTTCTTTCCTGCAACACCCCTTAAAATTTACTTGGCCCATTATCTTAGAGTGCCCCATTTCCTTCTCTCTTGGTTGTCAGCATGGTTAATGTTTGTGGTGGATAACAAACAGCAATTAATAAAGGCAGGTGATATTGCTACTGTTCTGGTTTGCAGTGGTTTGAATGAATGAATGAATGAATGTTGTGCTGAATAAAGGAAATGAAATAGATGGCTATTTCATTATTTCCCTGTTCTATCCGTCTCTCTACCTGAGTCCTTCTATTTAAGTTCCTTGAGGCAGGGCTGGTTTTTCTGTTATCCATGACTAGGGTTTCCAGGTGCTACTATATTATAAATGCCACTCAGTATCACAGTTTGTCTGTGATTTATTTCAGATACACAATACCATTTTCTGTGACAATACCCAAAAGTCATGATGTAATGTAAACTAAAGAACATTATCTTATGAAGTACTGTCTAGTCTTACGCCATATTATATCCTGGTAAGTATTTATTGAAGGGAAATAGTAGAAGATGGAACCAGATGTCTTTTTGGAGGATAGACTAGACAGTAAGAAAACCTTTCTTAAGTCTGACACTGATACCTCCATATTCAGAGACATCTGAAGTTTTGAAACTTATGTACTTACATGCGTGTTTTTTGTTTTAAAACTGGCTAGTTCTTAGTTAGGCAGACCAACAATTTACTCACCAAAACAGTGTAATTAGTTTGAGCTGTGATTGCATCTTTAAATCGCTGTATCTTCTCAGAATCCTGTTGGTAGAGAAGAACCATAAATTGGTAATATTGAAAAATCTCTTTATGAAGGAGCATCTACTGGTAATGAGCCAACAACCAAATAGTAAGTACACTCAAATTCCCCTGGCAATCCCTAAATACCTATATTACTGTGAACACTCTGAATGAATAGAAGGGTACTGTAGTTCAGAATTAAGATTGATAATATTGCCTTATTATGTGAACCTATGGAAACCAAGGATAGATTTTTTTTATTGACTTCCATGGTTTTTATCAGCCCAATAGCTAACATAACATCTGACCTGATGGGTCTAATTTCTTTAGCCATACTTCTATATAAGTGCCAGCACACTTAGAAAAACTTAAAAGCAGAATAATCTTTACCACTGAAACCTTTTAGGGAGTAGAACCAGTTTCTCAAGTCTAGAACATGATTGGGAGAAATTAAGTGAAAAAAAGCCTGAGTATGTGTACTCAAATTAGTGGTAACTAGTGGTATAGTTAGTAAAGTTTGCAGTAGGTGGAGATGTGGATTGCTTTTCCATTCTATTTTTAAAAGGCAAAATAATAGCACAATTTAACCCAGCCTACAAAACCATCTTGGAAATTTTATCAGATCAAACATTAAATCTCCTTTAGCATCCTTTATCATGACAACAACAGTAGTGATGTTAATGAAAAACTCTATTTATATTTTACTACCTGGTCAAGAAAATTGCTCCCCTGAGTGAAATGGCAACTGAAAATTTCCAAGGCTGCTTTATAACCTTTACAGTTATTTCACATCTCAGATTACAGAATTGTAAATTTCAGCTCCTGCCAAATGTCAGACTTAAGCTGTGTGATCAGTCCTAGCTGCTCTGCTGTATCTCTAGCCAGATGTTGTAGCTTTGAGAGACCCTGAAACAGCAAAGAGTTACTCTGTGTGTGTGTGTGTGTGTGTGTGTGTG